CTGGAGCGCGGCCGGCTGGGGCGGCGCGGCTGGGGCGGCGCGGCGGGCGGAGGCGGAGGAGGACCAGATCGTGGCCGTCTTCGTGGTCACCTTCGACCCGCGCACGGGTGAGGAGCGGGCGCGCGGCGGCGGCGGGGGCTGCCCGCGGCCGCGCCGCTAAGATGGAGCCCGCGCGGGCCCGGCGGCGGCGGCGAGCGCCCCTTCCCGGAGCCCTTCCCGGAGCCCTTCCCGGCGCCCTTCCCGGCCTGATGCGGCTGCTTTCCGGAGGGCTCGGACGCGGTGGGTGCGCGGCGCAGCGCCGCCAGCAGCCGTGTCCCCGCCGCGTGTTCGCGGGGGACCTGCGTGCTGCTCCAAAGGCATCTCCCGGCCTCCGGAGCTCGGGGTGCTGCCCTCCGGAAGGGCTCGCACCTTCCTGCTGCTGTCCTCGCTGTGCTTTGCGGCGCGGGGTAGCGACTGCGAGTGCGGAAATGTGCGTTTCGGAACACGCCGCGTTTTGGGAGCCTCGGGCACGGGGCAGCGGTGCGAGGGCAGCGGTGCGAGGGCCGCGCTCCCACCTGCTGCACCTGAGACACCGCAGGGCTTCTGAGAAGGCTCCGCTCCTTGGAGTGAAGCGTCTGGAGCCTGGAGGTGGCAGGCGCTCGACCAGAGCGGGATGGAAGGGCCGCTGTCATCTGGGCGGRCGATGGAGAGCTCTGTGTGAGCACCGCAAACGCTGCCTGCTCTGAAACTGAGAGGCTCCTCTTGCTGGCGGTAGCCCAACTTTCCCAGGAGTTGGCCTGAACCAGCTGCCGCTTTGAACGGCATCCAGGGAGAATTGGGAAGCAGCTCTGCTCACCCCGATGGGGTATTTCTGGGTGGCATCTAGTGGATGAGGTCTAGGAAAGCTCAGTCTCCCGCCGCAACCGGTGCTGATGCTGGATGCAAGGAGCGTGCCAAGATGCAGAGGAACACATCCACAGATGTCACCTCCGCAGGAAGAGGGCCAGGTGCCCTGCGGAGGCTGAGGACTGAGGGCAAAGATCTTAAAACCACAATGAAGTGAATTTTCCAGGGTCAGAAAAAGGATATGAGAATTCCTAGGTCAACTGGATGGGAGCATGTGAAGGGATTCTATAATGTGAATAGAAGTGTGTGTGAGAGGAGATGGTCCACGCTGTGTCCGTGCTGGAGATGGGCCTTGCCAGGACGAGCAYAGGAGGCCTCCCCCACTAGCTCCCTCAGGTCCATGAAGGCAGTTTCTGAGAGACTTTGGTGCCAGGTAACGTGCCCAGCATACAGGCACGCTGTGGAAGCAGAAGAGAGGGGTTTGTCCCCAAGAAGGAAGGTGGTGACTACACATAACAGCTTCCCTCCTAATCTTAGTAGGGCTTGGACTAGGCAAACCCAAGCAGTGTTTTTTCTAGTTCAAATATCGAGTATATTAAGCAGTTGTGTGGGCTGGGCTCAGGAAGGCAGGTTATGGGGCTACAGGACAGTGTTACGGTCCTGGTGTCCCTGGGACTCCTTGATGCCTGTGTGAGTGCCTGGAYGTTGGCGTCTTAAGTGAAGTTTAACTTAAGTGCAGCATGGTGGCAGCCCAGGAAGCAGCTGTGCCACCTTGCTGCCTGTGGCAGTCCTGCTTTGGCCGCCCTCTCTTTAAGGAGCATTGTGTTGGGAATGCTCAAACACCTTCAAAAGTGCACGCAGCGAGTCTGTGCCAGGCCTGCCCTTCGAAGAGCACGGACATGAGTTGCTTCAATGAGGCTCCTGAATTGCCCACTATGGGTGTTGTGCTGTGTAGATACCAAAGACCCCGGGTGATCTGGGGCAGCAATGGAGACTGGATCCATAGGCTACGTCCCATCTGTGCGAAGCAAGCAACGGGAAATGAGACAAGCTTTACTTGGGGAGGAGAAAAGGAAAGATGAGGAGAAGTCAGTGTCAGCCTAAAGCTCTTCAGATATATGAAGAGTAAGGTACACATCCACTCAGACACCTTTATAGTGATGGAGGTGGTGATGGTGAACCTCATGAAGCTCCCACGTGGTCTGCTGGCTTAAAGGACAATATGAGTTATAGGGGCAGGTGAAGCGGGGGAGAGGGAAGACATCTCTTCTCCAGCATTAACTACAAGATTGCTCAGGTGCTCTGGTTTGTCCTCCCACATCTCTGCTGTTCAGGAAGCCGAGCTCCACTGTGGCTGTCGTGGCCTGGCACAGCTGGGGACTCTGGGGACCTCGAGAAGCACTTGACTAGTCCAGGAGGGTGAGATGACTTCATTGTAGCCATCAGACACTCTCTAAAACACTAGAAACTCTCTGAAAATCCATGAGAGGCACTAGAATCTCCAGGAGGAGAGAGAAGACAAGTGAGAGGGGAACATCCTGCACTGTGCYCACTGAGAGCGCTGTTCCAGCTCTGGCCTGCAGCTGGGAGGTAGCTCCCACGTCTCTCATCAGCTCTTCAGCACTGGTTGGGTCATGCTTGGAAAGCTGCCCTGCATRTATGTGAGCTGCCTTATGCATATGCAGGGAAAAAGCTTCCTTTTCCTCCCCCCCCTTTTTTTTCTCTGTTTGTTTTACTCGTTAACGTTTTTAAGCTACTCCCTCTTCCTGTTTCTCGTGCGGACCAGCAGTTGCGCCCGTGTCTGGGTGAAGTCTGGCCTTTGTTTGCTCTAGTGTTTCACCGCACCGACTCTTAATTTTTTATTTTTTTTTTTTAATCTTCTCGTTTGCTCTGCGAGTGCCACGTCGCCAGAACGCGCGCAGGGCAGGGTGGTGTGAGGAGCCGCCAGGAGCGCAGGTGTGGGCTGTTTGTGTCAGCTCCCAGTGACCAATCCCAGGGAAAAAGAAAAAAGAAGGAGTACATGACTAAAGAAGTAGTTATATGATAAGCAAGGGTGTTTTGTTGTTAAGCTGTAAGATAAGGATCTGCTTCAGGATGCCTTTCTCCTGCTTGTTGTTGCACAGCGCATGTCGCTTGAGCAAGTCCCTTCCACCTTCCGCACCTCTAGAACGGGAATACCCCTTAGATGGTGTTTGGACTGAGGAGAACAAAGTGAAGCGATTCCCCTTGCTGGATGGAGCCCTTGCATATTGATGTACTAATGTACAGTAATGGCCAACTCGGTGTGATGTAAAAGCTTAAAAGAGGATCCGAACTTAACCACAGTTCTTACCACAGCAGTCGCCGAGTTTGCTTCCTTACTCTTTCAAGGAAGAGCCTCGTGCCTTTTTAAAAATAAACCTCTGGAGGGACAGCCAGCATCTCTCTGCTCCGTGCGGGAGCTGCAGGCTGCGAGGGGCTGCCGCGGTTTCGGCACCCTCCTTCAGGGCGAAGCCGCGTTGGGGCCGAGCTCGGCGGTTCCGCGCGCGGCGCCGCGTGCACGTGGGCTGCTCCCGTCTGCCTGCGCGTCAGACCTCTCCCTCTGCGCTGTTAGATCCCTCGTCGGGCAGGCTGGGAAGAGGTCCACTGAATACGGTGGCTGTTGGAGAAGAAAAACGGCCTATTTGAATTTCAGTGGCTAAACCTAATTCCAATGCAAGTGTGCATGTGTGGACTTGTGCAGATGAGTAACAAAATAAAAGGGCTTTGAAATCGGGCTTCATAATTAAATATCCATTTCTAAAAGCCTTGGCCAAGTGCAAAGGCCTGCCAAAGGCACAGTGTGGATGCAGGCCCGGGTGGGACTCTTGTCCCTAGGCAGGGGTGCAGGGGACTGTACCGTTAGAGAGCACTTCTACGCTGCACTTACCACTGCATTCGTGCTGAGGAGGGGTTGTTTGCTTTGTTCTTAAAAATAAGTTGCATCATTTCAAATGCTGATGCTGTAGGGAGAGTGGGAGAGAATGGAAATGCTTAAGCCTAGAGCTCATCTTGCTGCAGTAGGAGTGGCTAAATGGGCAGGTTAGATGCTGAAGTRCTGGCACAAAAAGTCTGAAAAATGCCCCACGTTAATCCCTAGTAAACCTGCCAGTGGAGCAGCAGGGCCTCACTGGCTGCAGATCATTAGATGTTGTTACCAATTCCAGTAACAACCTGCCTGGGCTCAGGGAAACCCATTTGCGTGGGCAGCCTTGGTGAACACAAGAGGCAGAAGTTRGATTGATTTGAGACCTCTCCAGTCCCATCTGCTCCAGGATGAGGCTCCCCGGGCGGCCTTTAGCGGTGAGCAGCTAAACAGCGGTGTGTTTGGCTGGCTCGCCAGGTGACTGATGTTTGTGAATCTTGAGCTAGCTTGTAATTCTGTGTGGGTTTTGTTCGTTTGATTATTCTAGTATGCACAAAATGTTGCAGAACTTGAATCTCCTCAGCTTCCATCTAAAACTTTAGCTTACTCCTATTTTGAATGAAATAGGAGAAGTTCTAGGAAGAAGTAGTGAAGAACTAGAAGAACTAGAGGCTCTGGGATTCCTGTTTGACAGGCGCTGCAAACATAAAGGAAAATACCTCAGTGGTAGGATCTATTGCATAATCTCCTCCTAAGGATCAGCAGTCCATACTTTGTTCTTTGTATATCCAATACTGTGTTCTTTGTATATTCAGTATACATGTAAACAGCAAAAATGGAACAGTATTAATACCTGCTTCTCTACTATCAGGAGTACCTGCTGAGAGCAACTTGTAGTTGCTGTGTGATTTAACATATCAAGAATAAGACCACAAAACAGCACTAGACTGTGAAACCGCTCCAAAAGTTCTGCAGTGCCTGGATATTGTGCTGCGACAGGAAATGTCCACAAGAGAGGCAGGAGATTATTTAATCTGCCCTCTTTCCACAACGTTTAGCTCTGCCCCAAGAGCTGTGTGAGTGCAGTGTTCCTGGCATCCCAGTGATGTAAAAGCAACAACTGGCTGCTGCTGGGGTTAACCTTTTAGCAGGGGGTGCTGTGACCCTGTTCACTCAAGTCAAGCTTTAATTTGTTTCCCTGCAGGCAACATGGTAGAATGGTGCTTACCTCAAGATATTGACTTGGAAGGTGTGGAGTTCAAATCCATGGCAAGCGGCTCCCACAAAATCCAGTCCGACTTCATGTGAGTATGTCCATTCCTTCTTGTTCCTCTTAGCTGTCTGTCTGTACCACCATCCCTTAGTTCAAAACAGGCAAGAAAAATACCAGGAAGGTAAGYATTAAACTGCTGCTAAACTGTATCCATCTGAGCCAAAGATACTCTTCCAATGTTCTCAACATATCATCAAATATCACCTAGCTATATGGGATCTTCTGTAAGATAACTTTAGGTGTGAGGACTGTAAACGTGGGAGGCCGACTCGCAGTGGGGTACAAATGTTAATGCATATAGCAAACTTTAAGGACAGTCAGGAAAGGCCTAGGGTGGAGGAGAAAGAATGGCAAAAATAGGAAGGACTTTGCAGTGAAAGGACGTAGAAGAAGGTTCTGAATCCTGCCAACACCTTTGGATCTTTCTAGTGTTGTGGTACCCGCCCTGTTCTTCATTCACTTTCTCCTTTGCTAGACCTGTCTTATGCTGTAAAGATTTTAACTGGAATCCGTCCCCATGCCCGCGTTTTCAGTAACCCAGTGATGCAATGCACTTTCCCTTCGGCCAGGAACAACATCTGTTCTCCCAAAAGCACGCAGACTTTCTCTTGTGCTCTACTAAAGTGTGTTCCCAGTGCTGGCATCCAGGACTATATTCACAGCTTTTATCCAGCGGGGATTTTCCTCCTTAGAAGCACTAGAACAGCGCTGTGGTGACAGGATCCTGCATCCTCTGCTAGACTGTTCTTCAGGGCGCTTTGCTTAGTGTCCTCCTTGAGACATGTTATTTGGTAGGGGCTCTAGCAGTAGAAACACTGGGAACTCTTGGCTGGAACATGCTGTATTGCAGCCTTCTTCCCAAGAAAGCTGGAAAACTGTGGCCCGGTGTGTGCCCTTCAAATAGCGTGGTAGGATTTCAATGGTTTGCTTAAAGAGTTTTCCCTGTGTTCCCCAATCAGTAATTGTGGTGGTTGGTTCCCTTTCTCTCTTCCACAACGTTAACTCTTCTGTCAAATATTTATCCCCAGTTATTTCCGGAAAGGGCTCTGTTTTGGCTTGGCCTGCTTTGCCAACATGCCTGTGGAAAGTGAGTTAGAGCGTGGTGCCCGCATGAAGTCTGTGGGGATTCTCTCACCCTCTTATACCCTGCTGTACAGGTACATGCACTTCCTGGAGAACCAGGTCAGGTAAGTTGCCTTGTGGTCCCGGAGTGGCGCTGGCCAGTCCTACGTGCACCTCTTGAGCTGTGTGGAGCTGCCTGGCACTGTTTGGGTACGAGGAGGCTGCATGGCTCCCCTGTTCTGGTTGCCTGTGGGATGTATTCCTGGGAAAGGCAGCAGTGCCTTGCTGGCCGTTGGGTTTGGATGTGAGTGACAGCCTGGGTAGGATGAATGCCTCGGTATGACTGACTTGAATGACGGCTTCTGCACAGACAGAGCACAAGCTGGTGTCTGTGGAAGGGAAAAAAAGGCCGTGCACAATAGCGTGCTGATTGCTAACAGSCTCGTCAAATGCTCTGCAAACTGCTCACTTTGCAGCCCTGGGGGACGCAACTGTTCAAGGGAGGGTGCAGAGAACAAGGGGTTCCCTGCTTCTCCTCTGAAAACTGATTTGCCAAGGGCTCACAAAACGCTTCCCGAGCTGTGATGGGGATCCCACCTAGGCATGCGCTTCTGCGGGGTTGAGTGGGCTTGGCAGGGGCCCTGGTGATGGCAGCAGGGAGAGCTCTTCCTACCTGAAAGTGTTTTCAAACATGACCAGTGCAATGCATGGACCACTCCACTGCGTGCTGCAGTCCTGCCCATGTTCCCTGGCTGCACTGAGAGCTGCAYTGCACCTAATGCCCTCCTAGGCAGCCCTGTGCACCTGAGGCAGCCAGAGGCTTTTTGCTGGCTAGGAAAGCAATGTCAGCTGGGGGCAAGACCTCTGACTAGGTAGTCTGCAGGCACTACAGATCTCCTCTATCTCCCTTTCTTTTCCAGGCACCAGCTGGAGATGCCTGGGCACTACTCCCATCTAGAGGCATTCTATGATGACAAGAAAGGAGTCCTTCCTGCTGGCAAGGATGTGGCCACCTCTCAGCAGCCTGTCCACTGGCTACCATCCATCCACAGATACATGTACCCAGAGATGAAGGTGAGGCGGGGGCTCCGAGCCTTGCTGGGATGTGCAGTGTGCAGCAACTTCTTACCGGTRTATCACACTACTTTATAAGCAGTCACTGCAGCCCTTGTAGGCTGCTCTAGGCTAAGATTTTGTTACTGAGGCTGAGTGTTACAAGCTGCAGTTCTCTGGCATTGCTGCGTGCTGGGCTTGCTCCCACGTTTAGGTGGAGCATCTGTGCCTGTGTCCCTGTGTCACCTCYGAGCCGTTTTCCTCCCTCCCTCTCCACCTGCAGATCACGCATCCCGCTGGTTGCATGTCTCAGTTCATCAAATTCTTTGGTGAGCAGATCCTTGTCCTCTGGAAGTTTGCCCTGCTGCGCAAGCGCATCCTGATATTTTCGCCACCCCCGGTTGGAGTCGTCTGCTACCGAGGTGCGTTGTCAGAGACATGGGAGTTCTGAGCCACTGGGCTGAGCAACTGCAGCCGTGGGGCTACTGGGGGCACGGAGGTGATGCCGGCCTTCAAATTCCACCTTGTGGGGGGTTTTGCTGGGCCTGCATTTGTTTGTCTGCTACAAAATGCTTTTGAGGGCTGTCTGAGAAGAACCTGCCTTGGTGGCACTATTAAACACAGGAAGAAAGAGCACTGAATGAATTTCAGGGAAAAAGAATGTGGAATTCTTATGGGAGAATTGGCTATTTTTCATCTAGAATATGGATTCCCCCATGAGCCGTTCTGGCGTTCAGCCACGTGGCACGGCAGTAACCATTGCTTGCATAGGGATTTGTGTAACTGGGAGAGCAGGATGCAGAATGCCTTTGGAGGGAATACTGAAAGCCTCTCAGCATGCACTTCTCTTGCCTGCAGTGTACTGCTGCTGTTGCCTTGCCAATGTTTCTCTACCTGGTCTTGGAGGAACTGTACCAGAGTCCAAACCTTTCTTCTACGTGAACGTGGCAGACATAGAAATGCTGGAGACAGAAGTGTCGTAYGTGGCCTGTAAGTATGGTGGCTCAAAGGGGATTTTTCTAACTTTACGTTGCAAAATGTCTTCAGATGTAAGACTGTACAATAAAATGAAGGGTGCCATGATGAGAAATGACTAACTTTACAGAATGCCTAACTAGGAGAGAAGAGTCGATTTGCAGGGAGAGCAATGTGCTTATCTGAAAATCTCCCTGATTTTGGCAGGTACAACAGAAAAGATCTTTGAGGAGAAACGGGATCTCTATGATGTCTATGTGGACAACCAGAATGTGAAGACGTATCACGAGCATCTGCAACCACTCCTGAAAATCAACAATGCTGACAAGGAGAAGTATCGACGACTCAATGACCAGAGGTAGTAACACAGATCTGAGTGGCCTTGGTCCCTGCTGGGAGAGCAGTGCAATGTGGAATGGAAAGGACACTGCTTCTTTATATTCTTTAGTATTTTCCATATTTTCCGAATTTCTCAGTACTTCAGCTTAGCTCTGAGATTCTGGTTATACTGAAATGCTGCAATGAGAGTCCCTGGACCCTCTGCAAAATATGCTCACTCTGCTAGTGCACTGATGGAGCCAGACAGAAGGCAGGAGAAGTGCAGAGATGGCGATATGTTAGTGACTCCCAATTGCTCAGTAGCAGAACTGAAAACACAGCTCTGTAACTTGATTTCTAGTCCTGTGCCTTATGAAGGCTGCTTGKGTGCCTCAGATATTGGGGCAGTGGTATTAATTTATCCACAAAAAACGTATGTGAAGTAACTCTTACCTTCTGATACTGCTTTGAGGTTCACTGTACGTAGATGCACTGAATCTGTCTCCTTCCCCCAGGCAGATGTTAATGTACTCTCAGGAAGTTGGCGAGGACTGTAGCTCCTGTGAAGAGGACCTTTTCATCTTGTGAGTKGATACATATAATTGGTCACTGTTGTACTTAACCTCTTCCACTGATTTCGCGTTGCCCTCGCTTGACATGCTATGAAACATCCTGGTTAACATCCTTCCATAGTCAGCTCTGAGCTCCTTTAAGGATCTTATAACCAAACCTCTATAAATGTTTCCCTTTACATCATTTTCTTTATAACTTAGGAAGCCAAGATGCCGAACAGCGATACTAGTCAGCTGAGGTCTTATAAATGCTGGAGGAAGAAGAGAATTTTAAAAGCACAGTTAGAAAGGAAAGAAGCCCTTCCCATTTTTGTAAGCATAAGCACTATAGGACTTTTCATGCAAGAACATGAAAAAGAATATTTTCTTTCTCAGGAAAGAAGGAAGCAGCTGTAGGAAGCAGGTAATGTACCATGTTATGGGAGGTACAACATGAAGATAAGAGCTGATTATGAAGGACTAGCCATTTACATGGCTTTTTTTACTTGGGAAACAGAGGAACAAGAAGGGGTTGTAGATTATAAGGTACGGAGTTAGATAAAAACCACACCTATACCAGCTCTGAAGCCATTACTACCTGGTGTTGTTCATAGTCTATAGCAGGTGAGAAGTAATGACATTAAATTGTGTAAAGGGCTGTTGGGGCAAACCTTTTAATCGTTGAGCTGCTTTAGATTTAGCTAAAGCTCTCTTTAGAAAAGCCTTGTATTTTCGTAGGAAGGCAGGAGGTGAACAGTAGCTCTTTCACTACTGTGTTCTGCTCTGATAATGGGGAATTTATTTACCCAAGGACTTACCAGCTGGGTGAAAACATTGTTTCCTCCTCTGCTTTATAGGAGCTATAGGTCTGATGTCTCCACTTAATTGCCACAAAGTACACATTAGCTGATAACAGGCCTTAGGAAAATGCCTAGGATAAATCAGCCAGACCGGAGCACCACTGTAAATTAAAAGCTATTGCTTTATCTCTGTTTATCCCAGGTCATCCACAGGGTGGATGGAAAACTACTACAGCACCACCTTAATAGGGTGGGATCTATATATAAAGTGGGTTAAATGTAGTTTGGAGAATCTTTGCTGCTGTTGCAGTGAATGTGCTGGTTTTGGTCCTATGCCATCATCTCAATTAACTTTATCCTATAGATTTTTCATGGAGCAGAACAACCGGATATTTCAGACGCTGATGGAGGTGTCAGCCAGCCAGGACAAGACCCTGACCGCTGACCACGCGCGGGGCATGGGCCTGGACCCCCAGGGGGACCGAAGTTTCCTTATGGACCTGCTGGAAGTGTACGGCATCGACGTCATGCTGGTCATCGACAACCCCTGCTGCACTTAGAGCGCACGGATGGGAGCAGAGATGGGGTTTGGAAGACTACCAGACATTTTGCTTAGGAACGTCACTGGAACCCACYACAGCCACTGGACGAATCTCATTTTATTTAATAACTTTACACAGAAGTATTTATAATTTTAAAAGAAAMTGTGATTTTTATTTTCTCCTTCACCTTTTCCAAGGAGTAACTGCTCCTGTTTGTTTTCATCTCACTTTCTTTTTCACTTGTTTTTTGTTTGGTTTACAAGGACCAGTGGCACCATTGCACCAATCTTCACTGCTGCCAGTGGTAGCTGGATTTTGGATGCCTGAGGACTGAACACTTCAGGAAAGCACTTTGTCTGATGGGGTCCAATGCRAAATGCTGTAGCTGAGCTCTAAAGACTTGACTGGAAATTGCATCCCCACTTATCCTTCACCCTTATATGGGGGACTGAAGAGAGCTTCAGCTGTTAGTGGCCCAGTCTTATAAATTCTTGCCTGTCCCACCATGTTTACTGGCGGTGACAGATAAACCAATGATAACAGAACTGGACTCCTCGAACGCCCCTCACTCAGCTGTCAGCAGCTGCGTTGGTATAAAGCCACCCTTTCTCTCCAGGGGCAAAGCCAAGCTTGAGGTGAGGGGATGTTCTGCTTACCAGAGTGGCACAGCTTCACTCGCAGTGTTTGAGGTGGTATAAACTGGCAAAGGCTATACCYACCTCACAGCAGCAAGTGAGCACCGTCTCTGCGTAATCCCTCCTTCCACTTCTTCTGGTTTTCAGTTGGTTAAAATCTTCAAACCAGCAAGACAGCCTCCCACGGACCAAGGACCCGAGTCACTGAGCCATCCTGCAGGCCCGCTGCTCTCCAGCCTCTGCTCAGAGCGTGCTGCGTAGGGCTGGGCTGAATAAGTGTGGGTTGAATGAATGTGTYTGCTCTGATCTCACTAGTGCTTCCTTCTGTAGCTGCCGGTGTCTGTCAYTCCTTTGCTTTAACACTGGCTGCTGCTCTTCCTTTGCCAAGCAGCTGCTGTCATTGCCTGCTGCCATCTCCATCTCCACAGTGAAGTGGAGAGCAGTGTGTGACCTGTCAGCTGCAGGGCTGCACTGGCTTTGGTGTCTGCAGGAGGCCCCAGGAGTTTGGCTCGGCCGGTAGAAGCAATGGCCAGCAGCAAGGCGTTTTGCTGGGGCAGAGAAGCTGTGGAACCAAGGGAATGGGAATGACATTTATTATTCTTCTGCAGGGGATGGAATGGCATTCAGTTGATGCCTGCAGGGCTGGAAGTTTCCCTCCAGAAAGGTTCTTTCTGCAAAGGGTGCACTCTTGGCCGTGTTTCAGCTAAGGATGGGACTACAGCTTGGACACTACAGCAAATCACATCTATAAAGTCCTTCAGCCAGCAGTAACATCAGCTCTAAACTAACAGTTTGTCCTGGTTAGAGCTATAGCTGCTTAGCCTTCCTGCAGGCTGCAGCAGTGCAGACTGTAGCTGGGTATCCATTCATCATAACATTTATTGGACAAGAGAGAGCCTGAGCCACCTAGATCTCACCTACCAACTGCTTTAACAGAGTGAAACAAATGTTCTCCAGCCGGATCCCCATAGCCTGTCTCCTCTGGAAGGAAAGAGGTTGCTCCAGGCTGTTCTTCCTCGAAGGCTGTCTGCAGCTGATGTGCAGCTTTAGGGGTTTCAGAGGTACGCAGGGCTCGCTGCACCGCGCACCAGGAGGAGCGTTAGTGTAAACTACAYGTTGTGAGCTGACTGTCTTGCGCAGCAGGCTTTCCCATGCTTACTTTTTGTGGGACTTGGAATATTTTTCTACAGGAGAGAACACAGTGCTGCTTGTGTTGTCTGTTCCCTGCAGCATATTCATTCTTAAGAGTACTGAGGGAAAAAATAAAGAAAAAGTAGAACTGAACAGTGTGAAATGGAATGATCAGTGTTTCCTCCTTGAGGAAAGGCTTTATTTTTAAATGGATACCTCTGGTATAAAAGTGAATTTCTGCTTTCTTCCTCTGGAGTGAAGAGCTGTGAGAAAGTATGACAGGCAAGGTACTGCTGTGACTGAAATTCCTTTAGATATTAAAAGAGGAACTAAACCTATAGTCTCCTTTTTTTTTTCCCTCTCTTTGTTTAGTCTGTTTGCCATTTAGTTCAGCTGTGGCTAGCTGTGAATGGCTTTTATTCTTCTCCATGTCAGTAATTCTTCTGTTGAACTGAATAGGAACAAGCCTTTGTGTCTTTGAAGTTTTAGAGCCCACTGCAGCCTGAGTCTTTCTAACAAACTGCATTAGAGCATTGTGTTCACAAGAGTATCAGTTCTGACGTATCCAGCAGTGAGATRTGTCTTCTAGAAAGCATCCTAAAATTATTAAAGTTTATTTAACCTATTCGTTCCAAAAACTGGCAGCGAGGCTGCTAGGTTTTGAGTTGCTGGCAATTGCACAGGTGCAGAAGCATCAAAGCAGGATTACTGTAAAGGGGGCATCCTTGATGCATCCCAGACCACTTTGTGGCAGCTTGTTTTGTACAACATCTCTTGGAAGCTGACTGCTGCGAAAAGGCAAGATGTATCCACATGGAAAACAGACTAGAGGCCTCTCCTATCCCAGCCTTTCTGTGTTTTGTCCTCTGCAACGTGAGCTCTCCACCTGCATTGTCTTAGAATAGACATTGCTTTTATTGCTGCTGCATGTGGAAATCCATGATAAATGGGGATGTAGCATGAATAGCTAGAGCTCAGCTGTTAGGACTTCTTTTAAAAGACTTTTTCCCCCAGACTTGGAACCAACAATGTGAGCATTCCCTCTTCCACAAATGATTCCTCAAGATTCATGGTAGAGCAGTCACATTAAGAATATTTTAAATTCCTTCCTTGGCAATTAATATTTACTTTTTCTGAATACCAGCAGCTGGGAGCTGGTTACTTGATATATTTTGATTTAAAAAGAGAAGGAGAGCGTGAGGTAAGGTAGGATATTGCTGATTACTGCAGCATCCTCTTCTCTATTTGCAGTACTTTGCCTTTACAGTGGTGCCTTTAACTGCTTGGGTAGGTTGTCCCTGGGCAGGTGCTGGTGATCAGAACCCAGGCTGAAAGGTAGTTCCAGTAACCATGAATATCCTGTGGTTCAAAACTGCAGCAGAACTACAGCCAGGAGAGATTGTCACTTTTTCAAATCCAAGCAAGTACTTGCGTGGATTTAGACAAGAGAGCAACAGCTTTGCAGTGGCATTTTATCTCAAATTTGGCTTGAAATGTGTAATCAAGTGCTGAATTACTGATTATCACTTGTATGATTTAGATTTAACAGTAAACCTCAGGAGAAAATGAAAGCTATTTTTTTAATCTGAACAAGGAAGACACTTGAATCACGGGGAAGTCTTCCCACTACAAGTTTAGGCCCAATTAGAGTTAATCAGTCAGCTTTGCTAGTTAGAGTTGAGTCCAACCAAAAGCAGGAAGGGATGTGATGCATTTCATTGAATTCAGGTTCTTATTTTCTAGCATATGGAATAGTTATTCCAATGTATGTTAGAGGTAATGATTGTGTCTTATTACAGACATCTGCCCTCCTATCCAGTATCCTGAAGGACAGAATAAAGTTCTGCCACATTTCCAAGGGAAAGCAGATACTCTACTGTTTTTTCTGTAACGCTGGCTTGCTAACCACTGAAAAAAGGAAGAAAGAGTCAAGTCTTCCTGAACAMGGTGGTGTGCTGCTGCTTCCAAAGCTGCTAGGCAAAAAGCTGGGGCCCTGCTGGGGACACGAGTGGGATCTGGAATAGCASGGCAGAAGGGCTCTTTCACATGGCAGAAGTCTAGATACAAAGTGTGCATCCTACCTCAGATTCTCTCATCAATCACACCTCTTGCTTCTCAGTTAGTTGCTGCCTCCTCTTTCTTTCAAAGCTAAGCGTCTAGTGATAGGGGGAGAAGACACCACCAATGTCTCTGCGAGAGCCTGGGGTGTATTGACTTAACATGAAGTGAACATCTCCAAAGCAGAGGCGTATTAAATGCCTATGAGCCAGGCTTTCAGGTCCTTAACAAAAAATGCCATTTAAGTGGGAATGTTTAATTATGGTTACAATAAACAGATGCCTYGGGCTGGTCCATCATTAAGTTGCGATCCTTCATTTTTATTTATATGATAGTACTTCAAGTTCTTCTAGAAGGGACCTGCTAGCTGAAGCCAGGGTAAGTGTTTTCATGAAGGGAGGACTAGAACTCGAATCCTCTTTCCCATCTTGAGCTTCATACAAAGAAAGTTGCTTGTCTTGATGTCAGAGAGAACTATAGAAGTGAGTCCTTTCCTTAGCCCCATAAACTGTGCATTCAACCTCTATTTATTTTCTGTAGCAAGAAGTTGTATTCCTTACAACTGCAATTCAGATGACTAGAAATAATCAATGTAGGGATTAAAAAGAAGAGAGAGGGGTAAATCTCTCTCTGGTAAATCTCCTTACCGGTAGTTACACCAGCTAACAACCTTCTGAGGGAATGTCTGTTTAAAWGCCTATCATTAATACTTTAAGGGGAAGACAGCATTAACACCCATTCTGGGAAGAGCCCTGGGTTACTTTCAAGAAAGGAATCACACTGCAGCAGGAGCCTGAGTCTATAGGATGGAGTTAAGTCATTTTCTCCTAATAAAGTTGCAGCTGAACCAGAAGTTGGTTCCTACCATCCTTCCCTTGGAGCAGCCTGGCTGAGGTTCAGACAGCTCTCATCAAATATTTGCATCTTGCAGGTATGGGGTTGTTCCCACAGGCACGGGCCTGTGCAGCAGAACTGCTTATTGAAACACAGGTATTTTTAAGATACAATTAAAGCTTACCTTTCTGAAAGGGCTGCTGCCTTTTCTCTCCTGCCTCTTGAGCAAAACCAGCGGTACTTTTATTACAGRAGCATCAGCCTGAGGACAGCTCAGGGGGCGAGACGCGTCACTGACTGGGCAGGAGCCGGGGCTGCAGAGCAGCCTGCCCGGAGTCTCTCTTGCTGCTCGCAGAGCGCAGCCAGCACCTTCTTCAGAGCCACCCAGGGCCCCGTGGGGCACTCGAACCTGCTGCGGAGCAAATCAAAGACAGCACAGGACAGGCTCGGTCACCAGCGTAACTGTTAAAAGGGACCAGCAGGTTTCTGTTCCCCTTAGCCAAGGGACAAGGGCCTGCCCTGCTGGGGCTGTTCCTGTTTCAGGTAATTAATTTCATCCTTCTATTGYCCAGGGAAGGTAGCATTCAGTTGGATTACAGCACGACTCCAAAAAAGCCACCACTTGCTCCCTTTCAAAACATTCTTTCCTCTAGCAGCTCTCCAGCAGAGGATGCTGTTGCAGCAGCATATGGTTCTTTCGCTGCTGCTAGAAATCAATTCACTTACGTCCTTATTTTGACTACAGCAAAGGATCAAGAGATGAGCTTACGCTAGGGAACAACATAGCAGGAGAGCTGGATACAAACAGTGATCTCATTAGGAAAAGAATAAGGATTTTGTTCTCCAATAAGAAAGGGAAAAATCAAGTAAAGCTGTAGATTATATTACGACCAACACAACCTTGTAAAAGTTACCAGTATTTTCTTGCAGCAGTTAAAATGAAGCTCTGCACAAAAGCTCAGAAAAGCAACAAAGCTAATTACAGAATTGGAGCCCAAGGGGATGCTGTAGGTTGCATGARGAATTGTGAAGGCTGTTTACAGCAAAGGAGAAGAGCAATCACAAATACAAATAAGTCATTTGGATGCCCTTTGCTGGATTACTACAGGTATAAAAGAAATACTTACAAAAAAAGGTTCTTTTGGCTTGTTAAAGAATGTTTCCACATGCTACTTCACATAGCTTCAAATCAGAGATGACATTTTCCAATTTGCTTCAATGTAACATACCTAAACTTGATCAAAGGATTATATTTCTACAGTATTGTTAACTGGAACAGCGCTGTTGAATCTGACAAGATGAAAAAAATAATGTTATCTGTAACAAATCTAAATGAGCCACTCAAGGAAGTGTTTTCAGAAGAGCAGAAACTTACAGAAGTTTGAAAATTTCATCTGCTATAGAAGGTTTCTTGTGCAGATTTCGCTGTGTGAGGACAATTATGAGCTCCAACTACATGCATTAGAAAAAAAAATACAGCAGAATTCCATTTTCAGGCATGGAAATATGCAAATTGTAGTCCAGGATACCAGAGGAAGCAGATAGATACTGGAAATTTTTAAATATCCTCTGAAGCTTTATATCACCCATCTCCAACTTGTTCCGTGATAACCAATATAACCAAGATAACCAATCACCTGTTTTAATGTGGCAATTCCAGCATTTTATAATTTCCTTGGCATGATTCTCCCGAAGCACTTTTTTTTATGATCCCAGATTTCCTGTGATTTATACACAGGCAAGGTAGACTCTAACTCCCCYACCACAAGGACACAAGTGTGCTTACATTTTACTTTAATATACAATTGTAATAAAGTAGTAGCATCTGGCACACAGCACTCAGCCTGCAGCGCTGTAAATGGAACACAGACTTTAGGAGGAAGGAAAAGACGCCACTGAGTTAACATTCACCTCTTAAGAGTCTGATTTGCACTTTTAGCCCCTTTGAAACTTGCCAAACCAGCCATTTCCAAGAGAAGTACTCTGTGCATAAAATGGCCAAATGATTCACTAATCTGATGGGGTTAATCAAACCAGTGAGGTTTCACGTGCCCTGAAGAGAACCTGATAAGGCTGGTGAGCAGTGGGCCAGTTCGACTTGCATTCTCATTGAGCTGCCACATGGAGCATCTGTTCTCTCCTTCTGGGATCGCAGAAGAAATGGAGTTTCCGGGGTAATAGCTTCACCTCTACAGGCATAGCTTCATACTCCTCATTGTCAATGCCAAAGGATCCTCCAGTGCCCTGTGTACAAATAACACCACTGATCAGGGTTAAACAGCAATCAGATTATTACTACAATGTTGTAATACTGATGAGGGATTTTCCTAATAGACTGCAGTTGGATATTTTGCTGAGTGTTAACCAAAGTGACCCCCTCTCTGGGCCTTCAAGCCCATTTGGTCTCAACAACATGGAGAGCACCATCCTTCACCACACACAATATATTAAGTCTGCTGCTACCTCACTTAGTTGCTAATTAGTGATAATTAAATGCTCAAGAGTTTTAATGACCCACATTGTTTATCCTGAAAGATTCTTTGCTATTGGAACTATAATTATATCCACTTAGATCTTGGTCTGCCAGCAGTGACACAAGCTAATCTGCAGAAGCACCTGTTAAATAACTCCGATTAAACCCCTGTCACCAACACTTTTGGCATTGTTTTACCATACTGACCTGAAACGTGGGATGCAAAGTAATTCACAGGTCACAAATTATTCAGGAGTAGAATTTTCTTTGGCTTTTCTTTATGTTGATGAAGTCACTAATAATTAAAACCGTTCATCAGAATGGCAGGTTGACTTTATCCAGACAATCCTAGTGCCCGCTTTGCACGCACTTGCCTCCAGGCAGGATGGTGTCACATGGATATTCACATGCTCCAAATGAGCATTAACATCAGCAGAGCATAGACTGGAAGAAGCGGCGTTAAGTCCCAGGTGCCACCGAGTTGTGGCAGTCCACACAGACCAACATATCCTGCTTCTCTGCAAAACTAACAAGCCTCCAGTTCTGTTATCAGGGCTAGGTCAAGAAATCTAAGCTCAGCACCACACGGTGCCATGCACAGGCACCTTGTAGGTCTCAGCTACAGCACAAAGGCTTCATTTTATACCTACAGTCCTTACCCAGCTGCACTTACCCCAGCACTTTGGAATTCACTTGTTTTTCCATAATCCCAAAACTGCTGTGATGCTGACTTGCCACAAATATTAGGATCCTGGCTAATGATGATAGTTTGCGGTTTTTTTATTTGCAGTCACAGATTTTTTCACCTTCTGGCATGTTCCACACCCGCATAAAATAGATCTTTTTTTCATCAAGTGATGTGAGAGTCATTTATCATTTGAAGACAGAAATGATCTATGAGACCGACTGAATCTCCTTGCAAAAGCAGGCCTTCCCCCACTGCTCCTGTAACAACCTCTGTTTCACAAAAGACTAATCTAATCTGCACAGACAGGTCACAGCTTTGGCTTTTTCCTCAGTCTCACCTGCTTGAGTTCTTGAGACAGTTCCCTACAGTGTTTGGAGTCTCGAGGCTTTGTGTCACCCTGCCTCCCCTCCATGAGGCTTCTCATATTTGATACCTCCTTCTTCACAGCTTAATCCCTTCTTGGGTAACAGTTTAAAGGAAGAATTCAGGCTTCAAAATGTAAGGAGAGGTTGTGCATATATGAAGCAGCTGAGTAACAAACCTGCAACAACCATCCCTGCTATATAAAAACACAGTCACTGCTCACTGGCAGAATGAAGCTTCCCCTGTTGTTTTTAGGCCACTTCAGAAATTCCAACATGTTACTTGGTCTGGAGCTGTCTTGCTGTGCTTAGAAACTGTATGTCTCACCAACAGTGTAATCACCTACCAAACCTAGAGCAGAGATTTCTTACTGTATCAGCTGCAGTATCAGCTGGTACCAGGAAGCAAGAGGACAGATTTCCAACTTCCTCAACTTCTCACCTCTGGAAGCTGCAAGATRCACTTGCTGGCTTGGATGCACTGACTCCCTTCAGGGCACAGCTGTGGATCACTCATCTTTTGACTTCTGTTCAAACCAAAAGAGAAGCAAGGTAAGGAGCAGACTCTAACAGAAATAGCYATGTTCAGCACTGAGGTACCATTACGGTTTAATAAATGACTATAGGTTTGAAAAATGTATGTTATGTATACATGAAAATATTTGCCACTTTACTTAATAGACAGTCTTTCCTATGCAGCAGTTGATATACATCAATATTCACAGACAGCCTCCAGGCAATTTCTTCTCCCTGACCATGTTTGAATATGTTTCTATAGCACGTTTTGTGCTCCTCGCTTGCATGTTGAGCKGTACAATTCCTGCAACAGACTGCTATCATCTCCTCAATATCCCACAACCATACATGATTTACCAGCAACCTAGAAACACCCAACAGGAACAATCATCGAAAAAAAATAGAGAGGAAAAAAAAAATCAAATCAATGCCAGTCAGCACAAAGTTTCTTACTTTAAACCTGCAAGTGRGGCTGCAAGTCCAATTCAGTCTTTTTCAAGTCTTTGACTGCTGTTTGGTCACTGGCTCAACAGCAGGTTGCGATTCCCTCTGTCCTCGGGGTCAACACAAGCTCTCCTGCACATGCTGACCTATTTCTGCCTCCCTCCCGAGGGAAAACGCATGGAGCCTTTGGGCTGACCTGCCAYGCAGGGTGCCCCGCGCTCCAGGCAGGAACCCTTTGGTTTGTTCCTTTTCCACACCTGCTCCRTTGGCCTCTGGGGACAGGAGAGAGTCACAATGTCAACACATCACAGCCCCTCAAGCAAGGCAGAATGATTGGGATAGCCCATAGACAAGGATCTCCAGCAATCTGATGGGAAAGGACAGTGAAATTAAATAGTCTTGTACTGCTCAGGGAAAGAAGTCCTAAGAACAAGTTGGAAGAGGTTCCTATATACTGAACATCATGCCCTCAGGAATGCAAGCTCCTCTTCAGATGGCTGSACATCCCAGAGAAAGAAGAAGAGAAGGTTGAAACAGGAGAGGACAACCAAAGCCAAAGAAAGAAACACTAGGCTGCCAAAGGCTTGGGAGGATGGAAGCAATATATAACTGTACTAAGTTTGTTTGCAATCAAGCATGTATATACTATAAGATTGACATGTGAAGGGGTTAAACGCCTTTCCAGTTGCATGAATTATAAATTGCTGATGGCATGAGATGCTGTCAGCTTATACAGTGATGTACAAACAAACAATGAGATTTCCTGCTTAAGACTTGTTTCATACTTAACATATAAGGTCCTACTGATGAGCAAGTTGTTTTTTTCCGTCCATGAAGTTAAATGAGCTTCCACACAGATGCAATTATGGCATAAAGGTGAGCTCGGAGACAACACATAAAACTAAAGATCTGTCACTGGAAAACTCAAGTAGATTTAACTCCACTCAAAGCTATTGCCTCGCTAGTCACTCTTTAATTTTATATAGAGGATAACAAGGATCAAAAATCATTTGTCAAATACAAATGCTCTTTGCTCAAAACATGCCACAATGCAAAACAGAAGACAGAACAGAAGCAAGAGTTTCAAACGATCACTTGATCATGCTCACATGCCGGACTACACAAACACCGGCAACGAGAGAACCTCAGCCCCTACTGCACACAGTTTTCATCTACTTCTCACTGCCAAAAGCAGCCAGGGTGACAGGACGCAGAGCAAGGCTGTACAAACAGTCTGGGACACTTTAGCTGATAACCACGTTCATACCCTGCAGAGACAGCTCTGCACTCTACCAGGGAGAGCCTGGAGCTCGCTAGCGGGATGGGGTTACTGATGCTGCACATCTCCCTCTCTCCTTCCCTCCAGCACTCTGTAACAGGCGCTGCAGCAAAACCAGCTGTTCTCCTGCACCTCCTCTCAAGCATCAGCGCTATCCGAGCCGCAACTGCTCCTGTTCACACCATGTGATCCACAGGCAAGGGGCCCTGTTATCAAACTGGGACGACCTCCTCCTTTCTCGGAAAGGCAGCAGCGTGTGCCCTCCAGCACTGATGTGTCCCCCCTCTCTCAGTGCTGCGTGAGCCTGCGTGGTGGCTCACCTGCCACGGGGTGTGCGGCTCCCTGGGGTGAGCTCTCGGTTCTGATCAGCTCATGTCAGTGCCCTCCTCAGTAGGAAAATCCTCAATATCTGCATCCGTAGGAGATTTTCCTCAGAACCTTTGGTAATCCATGGAGTTCTGGTGCAGGTTACAATCATGCATTAAACAACACAAAAGCTTCTTTACATGCTTTTCCTACTGACAAACACTACTGATGCTGGGCAGTGTCCCAGAATTGGACAGGAGTACGGTCCAATTAGGCTTGATTCAAGCCTAACTGCCAAACRGCTCTTTGTGGTGAAGGGCCCTCTGAAAACCCTGATTCTGCCTTGCAAAACAAGTATATATATATTTTTTTTTATTTTCACTTCTTTCTGTAAAACTAATCAGTCACCCACACTCTCACACCTCCCTCATTCCTTTTTGTCATTATCCACAGACTTTTAGGCGACATTTAATCAAAAGACCTTGTTTCTTTGAACAGCAGCTCAAAGCTTTCGGTGCTGCTTCTAATCAGTTCTAGCCAACAGGGCACATTAACATGGACCAGGGCCTTTTCCTACATGATGCTGTTCTTGCAGTCACAGAACGTGACCTACTACTGGGTGATACGTGTCSCCTCCACATGGAAGCATGTGCATACTCTAATCTCTCTCCCTTAGGTTACATCAGAGCTCCTTATTTCCTTCTTTAAAGCAAAAATCTAGATTCCAAAGCAACTTGCAGTCCACATGGCTGGTGCAACTTAAATGCAGTAACACTCAATCCACCTTKTCTGCATATGCTGGAAGATCCTGTTAAGGCTTGTAGCTATAAAGAACCCACTGCTGCAGGGATTAATTACTAGGGCAACTACAAGCAGTAGGAAAAGCATTCAAATCCCTCCACCTGCTTTCACTAGAGGGAGCCCCAAGACTAGAAAACAAAATCAGAAAATACAAAGGTAAAAYGACAGCAGAGAAGATTTGGACTTTGCAGGAAATCCTGTTCACAATAACAACTGCACTGAAGACACAACGTATTTGCTAGGAGGACTGTAAGGTGGGGATGGAAAAAGCAACTGTGATTTGTGTCTGGTGACTYACTTAAAGTGCAGGAGGAACAGGGACATTACAAGATAGCACTCCAAGCACAAGGAAGGCAACATGCCTTTGCTCTATGTGCTGCTTATTGATACCTGTAACTGCCCTGCTTCACATGCAGGCAGCATTAACATATTTGCTAAAAATCCCTCTTTAAACTCCTCTTCAAAGAAGTTCTTCAAGCTCAGATCTCATTTCTGAGAATGGCTACTGAGCTAAGGGAGCTCTTCACTGAAAAACAGAACCTGTCTTACAGAAAGCTCTAAAATTCCTGGCACCACTGCTAGCTGGAGATATGGTGGGAGAGCAGTGGATGTCCTCTATCTGGACTTCAGCAAAGCTTTTGACACCGTCCCTCACAACATTCTCCCAGGCAAGCTCTAGAGGTGTGGGACAGATGAGTGGATGGTGGATTGAGAACTGGCTGCATGGCAGAGCTCAGAGGGTGGTGATCAGTGGCACTGAGTCTGGTTGGAGACCTGTAGTTAGYGGTGTCCCCCAGGGGTCAGTCCTTGGTCTGGTCCTGTTCAACTTCTTCATTAAGGACCTGGATGAAGGCATGGAGTGCTCCCTCAGCAAGTTTGCTGATGATACCAAACTGGGAGGAATAGCTGATAGCCCTGAGGGCTGTGCTGGCATCCAGAGGGACCTGGACAGACTGGAGGACTGGGTGAGGAGAAACCTCATGAAGTTCAACAAGGGCAAGTGCAGGGTCCTGCAACAGACACCAGCACAGGCTGGCAACTGATGTGCTGGAGAGCAGCCCCACAGAGAGGGACCTGGGTGTCATGGTGGATGACAAGATGACCATGAGGCAGCAGTGTGCCCTGGTGGCCAAGAAGGCCAATGGGATCCTGGGGTGCATTAAGAAGAGCGTCTCCAGCAGGTCAAGGGAGGTGATCGGCCCCCTACACACAGCCCTGGTKAGGCCACATCTGGAGACTGTGTCCAGTTCTGGGCTCCCCAGGACAAGAGGGATGTGGAGCTGCTGGAGAGAGTCCAGCGCAGGGCTATGAGGATGATCAGGGGCCTGGAACATCTGCCCTGTGAGGAAAGGCTGAGGGAGCTGGGCCTGTTCAGCCTGGAGAAGAGAAGGCTGAGGGGGGACCTATAAATACCTCAGTGTCTATAAATACCTCAAGGGAGGCAGTGAGGAGGAGGGGGTGGCCTCTTTTCAGTGGTGGTCACTGACAGGACTAGAGGAAATGGCCACAAACTGAAGCACTAGAAGTTCCATAGGAACTTAGGGAAAAATTTCTTAACAGTGAGGGTGACAGAGCCCTGGAACAGGCTGTGGAGTCTCCTTCTCTGCAGATYTTCAAACCTGTTTGAATGCAGCCCTGTACCACCTGCCTTAGGACCCTCTATGTGCAGGGAGATTGGACRAGGTGATCTCTACAGGTCCCTTCCAACCTTAAGTATGATTCTATGACTAGCACAAACCTCTYGGCTCAGCAATTCTTCTCTCAGTGCAGTGGGTGGCTAAACATGCCTGGCGTATGGCTACTGCCCTGAAAACCCTGGGTTATAATACCGCCATCCAAGTAGCTTCATCAACAGCAGCAGGAGAAAAGATGAAAGGAACAGGAAACTCTTCCTTGCTTCAAGAAAGAGAAAGTTAATGAGAATTTTAAAGTACAGTTTGTAATTCCTATTACTTGTTTACAACTTTGTAGCCTTGTGCTTCTAACTTGGGCAGCAGAGAATCAGAGAAAAGGATAACAAAACCCTCAGAAACAGTTTTCTGACTTGTCCAGAGAATCTGACATCTTTTGGCAGTCTTCCCATACTCACCCTCTGCTTACAAACTGTCCTTTACCAACAGTATCTGCTTCAATGCAAATATTCATGAAGTCTTCAGTACGCTATGGAAAAAGATTTGGAGATCAAACAGTTAACRTTTCAAAATACCACACCCTTAATAATGCAATATGTTCACAAAATGCTCAGTTCTTTGTCCCACAAAAGGAGAAAGATTTTCTCACTATTTCTAGTGAGCTTTTCTTTTTCCTCTTGACTTGAGAGATTCAGGTTATAAATTATAGCTAGTAATGTCTTATTGAAGACTATTCAGTCTCAAAATAATGATTCACACAGCTGACTTCTTGTTACATTTTATACAATTATTAAACAAAACAAAAGTAGATCACTTGGGTTTATCTGTTCACAAAGAGGAATGGGTCTTCCATGATCCCAAGCAACAGTACAATGATGCCACTGTTGGCAACTGAACACTAACGTAAGAATTTTATGTAATACACATTGGAAGTCAAATTGTTCTCAGTAATAGCCTTTTAAATTACTTAGATAGGTTTCTATTTGCWGCATGCCCTTAAACCATCTATACAGTAAAACACTATTTTTTAATTAATTCATTTCTTAGCATTCCTRCCCTGGCAAAAGTCCTAGTACAGATGCAGTCAAAATAACATAAGTAAAACAAAAAATAAAAACCTCACCTATTAGCATAACCTATTTTATTTATTCCTGCCAATCTGGCTGCAGTGACAGCAGCTTCCTGCAGCCACGTAAAAGGCTTGTAGAGCTGCTCAGGTACCACTKCATTAGCATTTTCCACGAGAACTAAAGATGGAAATCCACCCAAAAAGCTTTCACAGCACGGAAACTGGACCAAAACGCAGACATAAACTAGAGTAYTGAATGTGAAGCACTGAATGTGAAGGGTGGTCACGTCAAGAAGGTTCTCATTTCCCATCCCCAACCTCAGGGCAGCTGCTGTCCCTTCTCTAGCACGAGTTCTTTTTAACTATTTGCTCTGGAAGGCAGGAAAGAGAGAAAAAAGGCCATGATGCCAGGCAGACATTCAGGCTCACAGCTTCAATTCAGCACCAGCTGATAAAACAGAATTACAAATGTATCTGATTTCCAAACTCCYGTAGGTCAGAAAGGGAACAAGTGCCTATTTTGATGCTGCTTTTTCCTCCTGGGCAATCCTGAAGTTTCTGTTTGATTAGTGAAACCTTCTTGTTATACATTTCTTCCTGTTGTCACTGCAACCCAGTTTCACAAGGATCTCCAGGGCATTCACACTGTCTCTGAAATTTGCCCACTGCTGGATTCAATCATGGGCCTTGACATGCATTGGGTAATAAGTTTTCTCCGTGTAGACACAAGAACAGGAATTTAGCAAGAAAGAAAAATTGTGTGGCCAGGGAACATTTGTACTYTGCTCTTACTGTCAAATCAAGCTGTCTGTTCTGAGTTGCAATGGAAAGTTCAATGGTGGATATCTTCAATTCTTCCCAGTTGTCTTGGGTTTCCTCTTGGGGGATTTCTGCGAATTCATAAGGGATGATACCAGTAAGTAGAATTTAATTRCACAGACCAACATTTCACTGTTGTGAAGCATGAACATCAATAATTGCCACCAAAATCACTTTAACTCACTGTTACCACTAGCCTGATTTCTCTCAAACTTAAAGAAAAAATGAATTAAAGGGAAAGGGATATTGAAAGCACCAAGGGAAAAAAAATCCTCAGCATTCATACAGTGACAGGAAAAACGATCAAGCATATTATATGGCAGCCCTCTGACTCCTTGTGCCTATGTATTAATTACTCTCCTTAGCTAGTACCACAGAAACATTTGAGAAATAAAAGAAGAGCTGCTACAGGGGGTAAAAAAAATAGGAGAGCTGATGTTTAGGGTACTGCAGAAAAATCTGTTTTCTATAGGAGAAAGTCCTAGAACTCCATTCTTATATACAGGTCACTTAGTCCATGCTCCTATCTAATGCATYCTGCCTAACTAAGAAGGAATGAGAAGGACTAGTTTTGTTGGTATCATACCAGACCACAGAAAATACATATTCCTTCTCCTTTTCCACTCTTCTGCACATGCTGCCTTGCTAAAAAAACAACCCAGGGGTGGTTCATAGCGCATGCAGAAGGAAATTCAGTCCTAGGGTTTCCCTGTAAGGCACTGCAAGAAATTCAATACTTCTGCATGGCTCAAGTTCTGTTGTACTCTGTTTTAAATAACATTCATTGCTTGGTTTCAGCAAAAGCCCTACGCACTGGAAAACAAGGGATCTTCTCCAGTGCGCTAAGACAAGTTTCTATAGAAGATTTAAAGGAACTGGCCCATGTAAGTGTCCTATCACCTACAGAGACTTATACCAATGCCAAGCAATTGCAACCCCATCTTGGGGGATTCTTTGCAAATGAACTTTTGTTGATGAGAAAACAAGCACCAACAGGACTGCAGACCTGGCAGATGTCACCATAACCATCTTGACAAAGTCATAATTAAAAAAAGAAATAAAGAGATGAGAAAAGTAGAAAAAAATTCCTTCTAGTCTATTAGAGGAGTAAAGCCCATCCCTGAGCTTAYGCCAAAATAAACACTCCCTACCTTTTGGGGGAGATGACCAGTACAATGCAAGTCTTCTGTAAAGCCTCACATGAAAAGGTGGTCTGGATCGCTTTTCCTCCGGCTCCTCTGSAGGTCTCTCAGTTGGACCCAGATACATGAGAGCAGCTTGATGTTTCTGAGGCCATTCCTTGAATTTACATACAAGCACACAAAAAGGCAGATAATAGAGGGTCTTTTGTTGAGCACTTATGGGTTCATTTTGTTTAGTCCTTCAGCTTAAWTTTCATGCTGATGCACTACTACTCGGTGCCCTCATGCATTCCCTCCAAGTGCTTGATACTACCGAGATATCACCACTGCCTCAGCCTGCTTTCCAGCACACAGGTCTCCAGATTCACACCATGTGAAAAGACATTTTTGCAGATGGGAAAATATCCACAGTTCCCAACTCTATAAGCTGCTCCTTCTCCACACAGAAATGAGGTACTTTCCCCTCTCTAAGCAGAGGAGGGAGGGTTGATGTATGGAAGAGGCTAGAGGGAAGGAAYAAAATTGGCAAGGTCAACACTAACCCTCAAAGCACAATTGGTTCCTGCATGGCACAAGGCAACCTTGAAGTGCAACAGCACAGCAGGGTCTAGTGCAAACAGGCAAAACCACAGTGCAGCAGTGAAGCCAAGGCAGACCTCTGTACTTCAACAACTCAAACAATCAAGACCTGACCTTATAGTCAGGTGCTTATACACTGMGGTATAAAGAACCAACCCATGGCTCTTAAGGCAAGTCAGGTGAGTTTCATAAGGCATCTGAGAAACAAACATACACAAAGTAACATGTCTTTCTCTGGCATGTTTCAGATTCCAGTGCCAGAAACTGATGGACTGCAGCAAAACTTTAACTCCTCAAACACTTCCAGATGATGACATTGTGGACAAAATTTACTTTCTCTCAGTTTGTTCTTAAACTAATTTCTGAAATGTTTAAAATACAACACTTATGGAAGGAATAAAATGAGTATTTTTAAAATTTGTAAACTAAAACAATCTAGCCCCCATACCCACCGGCTCTGGCGCTCCCTGAGATTAAAGACTCAGTAAATGAAAAGTGAGAAAGGAGCTGGAAAAAAGGGCAAAGAATAGGTTTCTACCTAGAGTACCAGCACACAACTATCATGTCAAATTTGGGAGGGATAAATATATATGTATTTATATATTTATATATTTTTATATATATATTATTCACGGACACATTACCATTTAACTTGCCCTTACAGGAGCTTTCCACAAAATACTGGCCCTGTCACAGGCAGTATTGCTGGAATGAACAATCTCATCTATTCTTGCAGTTCTTGGGTATTTCTCTATTTTTTTTTTTATGAGACTTTTCCATGGATAATCAGGAAAAGTGCGTGAATGAAAATGTGTCACCTTTCAGGTCAGATTTTAAACTTTTTACAATTTTAAGCATGGGAGAATTTTCAAGTGAGATGTAAGCTGTTAATGTTCAAGTTCACTTTACCCCACAGGGAAGCAGGATTATCAACATTCATGAGCAGTCCAATTATTGACACTTCTGCCAGATGAGTAAATCAGAAGGAAAGGTTATCACAAGAAAGATGGYTGAGGAAGGTAACAGAGCACTCTAATGGTTATCTGCAGCACCACCACTGCTCTCTAGTCTCAAAGATGGTCACTGGCTCCCCCTGGTGATCTTGTAGCAACAGATCCTTAGAGTAGAAAAAAAAGATGTTTTTAAAATAATTCTTCCTCCTCTTCATCTCTCAAAGAGCTATATCCTCATCTATGAAGTTCCCCTCTTMTTTTACATTATTATCAGAACCAGTCCCAAACAAACTGTGTCACTTTTTTCAATTATTCTTTACCTTAAATGTACTGAAAAGGTGAGCTGCTTTGGTTTTCAGAGGCCCAAGGTACCAATACCTGAAAAAAAGAACATAAACAGAATTCCTTAGATATCTCGGGATCCACACTGGAATAAGGGGAAATCATACATGAACTGACAGCACACAGATTTCCCACTGAAGTCTGAKCTTTCCTGCAATTTTTCACTCGGTGTTACAACCAGTAAGTTTCTATTCATCACCAGAGGCTTAGCAGTTATGCAGAGCACAAAAATGCAGGATACAATCTTCACTACAGGCAGTCTCACATCTCACAAGCAGAGTTTTATCTAGTTATGTGACATAGCTAGGAATGATTTCAGGATCTGTAGTGGAACAGCTGGCAAGACACAACTCTACACTTTGTGCTGAAGAATGAATTTGGATGAAACAAATGAACAAAAGTCAACAGCATCAGAGAAGGGCAAACAGAGACAGCAAACACTTATGTGCCCCAAAGGATTCTCAGACCTCTCCCTCCAAAAAACCACAATGTTTTTGTTTTGTTTTAACTCCATCAGCATAAAACGCTGCAGAGAATTTAAGCATGCGACTATATTTAGGTGGCCTTGAATTCATTTTGGTCAGGCCTCCACCAAGGAAGGTCAACACMGCATATGAGGTGTCCTCAGTTCAAGGGTGCCAGAGATGCAAGTATATTAGATCTTGCCAACAAAGGCATGCAGCTGTCATGCTGCTCCCATGGAGCCACTGAAGAACCCGTGGCTATAAAATAACCCTCAAAGCCATGAAACTCAGCACCTGCCTCCACTAGGATGGTGCTTAGTGCCAGGCGAGATGGATAAATTTCTAGCACTCTGACTCGCAGCTGAGTTTCYACTGCTGTAGGCCCTTTTTTCTCAGTAAAAGATCAGCTTCACTGGACTACACCACGCATCCCTTTAGCCCAATATCCAGTTCCTGACAGAGTTCCTGAGAGAGCCCTGAAAAGCACAAGAACAGGGCAGGCACATGCAATGCTTCCCCCAGGTGCACTCCCAGTCCCCATCCAGCTGTGGCTGAAGTGCCTCCCRAGCTGGCTGCATTGCTGCGTGTTTGATAAACCTGAAGGACAGAAGAAAGTTTGAACATGTCCACATCACTCCAACAAAATGCTGTCATGCCTGACACCGAGTCCAAAAGATTCCTAGCAAAGGGAACTGCTGCTGGAAGGGAAGGCTGATATGCAGCAAAAACATGGCATGGGAAGGAAGCCTASTGGGAGCGCTGGGAGGCCAGAGGACGCACACCCACACCAGCGACTGAACATGCCCCAGGGACAACTAACCTAACCTATTTGCTCTCCCCCCCACTCCAGATTACCTCTTATCCATCCCTTTCAAATGTCTGCCAGTCACACCTAGGAGATCAGCATCTCTTGCTTTCAGAGAGAGCTCATTCACAAAACAAACACACCTAATTTCCTGGTAGCTGTTTAAGTATCAAGTAAGTGTTAAWTGTGAATGACAAAAGTGCTGAAATGTCTTACAGTCTCACATGTGTAATGCAAGACCTAAGGAGAGAGAACTTCTGCCTGTCACATGCTAACACTAAAAAAAGGAAGCATTTGTTTTTCAACTACAGATGTTAAAGAAAAAGTATCATTTCAAATAAAAAAAGCACACAAAAAAACGCCACAAAACAACAGCAACAAAAATCCCAATATTTCCATACTTGCTAACTTTAACTGCTGCATCTCTGTAAGATCCCCATCTTAATCCAGTCATTGCAAACACAGGCTGTTCCTTTTCTCCCTGTAAAGAAAAATAAACAGTTTCAGTCTCTCTATACATAGATAAAATATAGAGATAAAAATATATAGATAAAAAATAAAAAATTCAGTCTCTCATTCTTTTTTTTTAATAAAAAATAATTTCAGTATGAAAACTGATCTCTGATTAATGCCAAGAATAAAATTTCACAGTAAGTGTAAGATAAACAGTAAGAGCAATAAAGGCTATGCACACATTCTACCTACCCCAAGAGAGGAATATAATAGCTGAAGTTTTTAGAGGTTGATCGAGTTTGACTGCACCCAGCAAGAGATATTTCATTTTCTGAATACTGTTAGCCCAAAGCAAGCAGTCTGCACCATAACATTAGGTCCTTRCTGTAGAAATGCACGTTGTGCAACATAACAGGAAGAAATACGTATTCAAAAAGCACACTGCTCATAGTCAAAGGTTCTCCCATCTTACCATTTCCAGTTTGAAAAAGAAAGCTATTACCTCCACAATATATGAGATGTATTAAATTAACTCAGGCGGCTATTGTTATCTCTCACCATTTCCACAAAAATATCAGTGTTAATAAGTTTTGCACTCATTGARACACTCTTTTCAGATTCACAAGGAAGTATTCATGCGTTCAAGTATCTTCTCCAGTTCAGACTTTCTGATGTCACACTATTCAGCTAAGGAAATGACTGCCACAAGAACTGATGATGTCATCAGCCAAAAGSCACAAAGCATTATACAGAACAAAGACATCCCCCGTAACCCTTGCATTMCTGGATCCCTAAGAACTACTAAAAATAGGGAAATCAGAAAAACGTGAGAAAATGAAAGCACATGTTTTTACCTTGATTTGCAAGACATCAAGTGGAACCGTCTCTCCCCTCAAAATGGCCAATGTAGCATTAATAATATGTCTGAAACAGAAACAGCAAAAACAATAAGTTTTAAAATTGAATCTTATTTTTCAGGATCCCCCACTACCATGCTGAATTTTTTTTCTGTAGATAAACATTGTGCCAGAAAGAACTCCACYGAAACGCTGCATTTCCTTGCAGGTGAAAAGCAAAGGACATTTGCAACCAGATGTGGATGTTGCTTTTCTTAAATATTTTTCAACTGTTCTGGCAGAGCAGATTACTAGCTGATTTTGATGCTTAAAATTTAAAGATCCATCCTATGGATTTTTTCTATTGGTGGCAGATATAATAACTAGGGAGGGAAAGAGAGAGGTCTGAGACTGTTATCAATTCATATCTGCAGAACACAAATTGCCCCAATATGTGAATTTGTTTTTATGTCTTTTTACCAATATAGATCAACCTATTATTATTGTCCATCTTGTTTTAGCCTCAGCAAAGTTGCTGACAGTAGCTACAGCTCCTCCTCATTTCAAGCCGTGGAATGCAGCACTGCAGATTCTGCAACCAAAACGTTCAAGTTCACAAACAGGTCTTGGTGTTCTGGTCTTGAAGTCTTATTAATGTCACTTCCATATTTATAAGTTGGATAAAATTTATATTCTACAATGTGGACTTTTCAAATGTCAYAGCTGAACAGGAAAAGCAAAACAAAACGAACAAACAACAAGAAAAGTAACTTTTAGATCCAGTCAAATACCAGTTGCATCAGCAGGAGAAATTGACTTTGGTTTCACTGGGCTTACAATGATGAGATGAGTAGTTCCCCCCTCAACACTTCACTTCTCCAAAGTCTTATCTTTCTCGAAGACTTCAGCAATTCTTAACTCCAAATAAGATCCAATAGTGCAGAAAACCAAAGCCCAATTACACATATATTATATAGTTAAAATATCACTATTGCACTTCTTAATTCAAGTTCTGTTACTGGCGGGGGTTCTTAAGCAGCCTATTGACCAAATTCCTTTCAACTTCACCGACACACGGCAGCCCTCACCTGCAGAGTTCATCACCTGGGGACAACATCGTTCATTTCAAACAGCTTCTTCAGAACCCCAAAGTACATTATTATTTAATCTTAGCTGTGGATCAGAGTCTTGTCCATCTTGCTGAGTTTCAAAGCACTCTGGTTGTTTTAATGAGGATGTTATGCCAGTTGGCTGGTGGGTTTTATGTATGATGGACCCAGGAAGGGTTCTCTAAAGGAGAATGCTAATGAGATTCTAAGAGCGCCAGGGTGAAGGGATTTCAGGAGCAAGGAAATATATTCATCATGGGAAGAGRGAAAGAAAACATTTAAAGGGAACAAAATGTGGGGAGAAGAAAAGATTAGTTGACTGCTCTTTTTATTTTAGGAGTGCACAAAACAATCTTGTAAGAAACCAAGATGCAGGCAGCAGGTACTGCCAGGCCRGATCAGATCCAGAATGAGGACAGACAGATTCAGAATGGTGAGGAGCTGCCAGCCTCAGTCYCTTTGCCGAGTGGGGCAAGAAACACTGCAGAAGTCACTAAGGGGATCCACACTCCTAAAGAGATTCTTGTATTCCTTATAATGCAAGTGCACATAAGGTTATAGGCAGATTAGTTTCTAAAACTCTTAAACTGGAAAAGGGTTGGAAAGAGGAGCGGGGTTTATGTTTTGTCACATCCCTGTTATTGTATCTCTGACTATTTTTAAGAGGCTTTTATTATAGATCCTTTTTATTTTTTTGAATCATGTAATAGAGAAGAAAAGGAAGTACCAATTACCAAGAAGTGCTACTCCCTGAAATCAAACAAACAAAACTTTCCAGAAACATATAGCACTTACTGAACTTGGTTCACGCTCTCAGGGTAGAGTGTGTGGCTCAGAGTGCTGGTCTTTCCAAGAGGTATGAATCCAATAGGAATCTTACTGAAAGTAGCCTGCATGCAGGAGGAGAGCAAATTAGCATCTGCAACAGCTCAATGAAGTTTCCTGTGTGAAGACCACAGCTGTGTCTGCTACCAGCCCTTGGCACCACGCAGCCAGCACCATGCAGTGACGCAGAACGTGGCACCCAACTCCCTGAACCCCCCACTGGCAACTGCTTCCAAGGGAGCTCTCCGGAATCGATAAGGGCACCAGCCCAGGCGGCTTGGCAGATACGGACCACCTAAAGCATGGATCCTGTCAGCAATCTGGCAGCTTTCTTCGTACTGATGGTGGCACCTGAAGCTCCGAATCTCATTTACCATTACAGAAATCCCTCTTTGACAGAGTAACCTTGCATGGCAAAGAGATTTTCTCAGTTAAGCAAAGGGAATTAATTGATTCTCCTGGCATCCAAATCATGAAGCAGCAGGAGGTGTAATTTCTRGAAGTCACTGACCATGATATTTTTTGTATCACAGTTCAGCAAAGGAGCTTGTTCAAGGAGCAAGTTATTACACCATGCCTCATAATAAACTGTGCTTCTTGGAGCRTGCCAGCAAATCAATGTAAACTACTGTCTATCACAATATATCATCTCCCTTCTGAGAGATGCTGCTAGCAGCACCATGATGTTGCAAAACCATGCTGGCTAACCAATATTTCTCTCACTTGCTGCTTATCTGCTCTTCCTTGCTACCCCGCCAGGGTCTTCCTTGCTACAACCTATGCACCAGCTCATCTCAAACATCCTTCTTTAATTTCCTCAAAATTATTTTACAGTTGCAAAACACAGGCTACTTGCAGCTCATGCAGCCATGCTCTGCTGCCCTGGCTACTAGGATCAGCGTCTCTGAACCACCTTGCACACACCCAAGTAAGAAGTGGCAGCAGAGCATGAAGTGAGGGGGCTGAAACGACAGCTCCTTCCCTCTAGGACACAGCAATATGAGGGACAAGAAGCCTCTGGCCAAAGACACCTCGTGGTAATGGCAGCAATAGTACAGTGCAGGACTCCGTCCAAAAGAGCGCTGCATAGAGAGCAGCTCTATGCATGCCTATTGCAAACATGACTGCAAAGCAGGGCAAGCTACATGAGCTGTTTTTGAAGTAAAAAAAAGAGAAAAGAAACAGCCAATAWAACCTCCAACATTTTTCTTCCACACTCATTCAAATAAAGGTTTTATGTGCCAACTATAATAATATTACACTTAAAAGATGTATTTCTCTGAACTGATACAGCTCGTGCCCCTTTAAAAATACTTGCTTGATGGCAGAGTTTCTCTCGTCACATTCAAACAAAGCAACTGGCTAAAGAGACACAATTCAGGCTGCCAAGGATATCATCRTATTCTTGTCTAGGTCATTTGATTGAGTTTATGCCAGCTCCTGCCAGAAGGCTTTGGGAACACTGTCCTCCCTCTTCAAAAAGAAAAATCTCTCTCATTTCCAGGACGAGTATTCCACCTTGAGAAGTTAAGATTTGCTTCCTGCAACCCTTTAAATAAGCAGACATCCACTGCTCGAAAAAAATGGCAAAGTAAGCATAAAGCTATAGAAGGACAGTGAAACTGAAATCAGCTTCAAGCCTGTACAAAGGAAAACAAAAAAAAAACACATATTTTGCCCAATGCTTCTGCCAAACAAAGCAGTACACACAGCTGGTCCATGGGGCTTTTGAAAGTTGTGCATCTGGCTTCTCARTGATCCCTGCTCTGCAGCTGGAAACTTCCCAGAGCCTTGGCTGCTGAGCCGCTGCACCCACTGACAAAGGGAACGAGGCCCAAACTGCAGAACTGCAGGACTCGCGTGACCAGCTCTTTATGCCCAAAGCTGGCGGGTGATTACTAAGCACGAGCATGCGGAGAAGACAGCTGGGGGCAAAGATCCCAATGACTGCCTGGCGTGCCCCTAAGAAACAAACAAATAAAGCTTTAGCATTGACCAACTTCCTCACCTCGTCTGCTCTGCGAAGAAGTCCAGTTATGACCTTGAAAACATAAAAAGCAGAAGAGCTCAGCTTTGAGAGTTTTGTTTTATGCTTACAGTACAAAGCAGTTACAGCACAAAGCTATGAAATGAAACACACATTTGCTTTCCAGAAACTACTTATGAAGCATCTTCTCTTCTGTGGAATGTGCTGGTTTTTGTTGCTTACATGGGAAAGGATGTATGTTCAGAGCACTAAAAATGATGGAATAGCAGGGTTCTGGGTGTACAGGCACCACAACCAGTGCCAGCACAAACACTTTAACACTGAATAGACCCAGATGGCTCTGCATAATGCGACAGCAGTATTGCTCAGTGTGCAATTAACGGTAATCAATTCTAAGGCCAGGAGAATCTTGCAGATATACTTTGACTGCTTTCTCTTAAGGCTACTGCATGCCACTTAGCCTCTCCCTTACAAAGGCAGTAGTTTGCATTTCTGGAGATGCTTTAATAAAATGTAGCCTGACTTGAAAGACAGGTTATCCCCCTAGTTCCACCGGCCATTTGCTCCTGTGCTGCCCTGATGAAAGGCATTTATTGAACACATACTAGGTCTGTTATCTTTCCCACAAAATTCTTAAATTATTTGACTCCCACTTAGCAAAACATGCTTTTCTCCTGGGGAGTACAGACAGGCTAGGAATTAAATGTGAAAATTAAATCATTGCAGCTATATTAYACAGAAATAAAAAGTTGCAAACATGTCTCCCCAGATAACTTTCTTGTTCTAGAATAAAATTCTGGAAGGCAGTTATGCCAAACACTTGCTCCCTCCCTCTCCTCCAGCGGACAGTTTCAGGCTACTGAGAAAGCAGAGTTTTCTTATCCCCTGCAAATCATAGCATTGACTGAAAATACAGATGCTGAGATGGAGAAGCCACCAGTGAGAACTACTCTAATGTTGTCACTTTGCACAGACTCAGTCTTCTCACCCTCTGCCTGACCACGAAACTGAACAAACTAGGATAGGACTCCTACAGTACCTCTTGTACCGTGCCATCCCCTCCTGCAATAATGATCAGATCTGTACTTTCCATCAGTTCCAGCAGCTTTTTGGCTTGTCCTTCATAATCAGTCTGAAGAAACAGAAAACCCAACATGAGAATTCAGATGACCATTTTTATGATTTCTCTATCATAGAAAGAATAATCTATCCATTTACTTAATGCTAGTTCTCTAATTGTACCAATACAGTACAAAGGACTGTGTATATCTTGCATTATATTCACCAATTTTTTTTAGCTTGTGAAAGGAAGTTTACTGCTTAACAGAATATAAACAAACAAGCACACATACACTCATGCAAGGCARAAATGAAATATCACAGCAACCCTCATTCAACAGTCAGAATATCCCTGCAATAATCAAATTCTAAGGTACACTTTCATTTAAATAAAATATAATCAAACACTGGCAAGCTCTTGCAGAAAAAAATCTTAGCATCTTTAGCAGTCAAAGTGCTCCTGATTATTGTTTTGCCTTCTATGAAAGGCAGTCAGATGCAGAAAAGCTTGTTCCCCAATGGCAGGCTAGGAAAGCCTGCTGCTGCAGTAAAGACAGCACCAACTTACCAATTCACCAAAACTATTCTCTGCAAGACACATCTCTGTTACTGGCCCAGCTCTGTTTTGCTAACTTGCCAGGCCTGAAGCTACAAAGTGTCACGTTCATGTTTTCAAGAATAAATTCTTCTCTTATGCTTAGACTAAATATTTTTATTGAACAGAGAAATGTATTAATAAAAACTGGAATTTAACATTAAACAAAGTCTTACTAAAAAGATTTTAAGACAGAAATATTGATAGAATCTCTTAAAGTACTTTATCTCCTGGACATAAGGACTACTACTACAATCAAAATATTACAGCCTCAAAAATCTTCAAAGAGATCACAGTCCCTTCAYGTTTACTCTTTCTTCTCTTTCCAAGGAAAACATCTCAGCAAATTCACACCATTTACAGCCCAAGTTCTGCTCTCCTGATGGGAATGTTAAATTATTTGGGGATTTACTGAAATATTTTCAAGGCAAAAATAAAAGATTGTTTATCTTTTATTCCCACTGCATGGCCAAGTTCTTCACTTCTGAATTCAATAAGCTCAAGAAGAACTGACAATTTCAAGAGCAATAAGCATGTACTACCAGTCAGTACCCAAGTATATAGATATCCATTGCAAACATCAGTTAGTGAGGAGCTGCCATAAACATATACACAGTTGAATTTTAAAATTCAGTGCAGTTTCTAAACTGTCAATTCAGTCCTAGTTTAAAATTTCAATATTTATTTCTTCCCACCAGAGGCCTACGGACAACAAAGATTTTCAAATGTATCCAAAATTCAATTCTCTGAGAAAGTATAGCAGACTATATACATACATATATATACACCTATATATATACATACACACATAAATGTATGTATGGAGTAGTATGGATGGATAGGTAGCAGTACCTACCAGTTCTTACCTTAACCACAGTTACATCCAAGCCAGATAAGTGCAAAATTGGAGCAGCATTCTTTTCAAAAAGGGTCCTGGCTTTGCTAGAAGAAATAGAGGGAAAAACTATTTGATCAGTCTGGTGGCTAAAAAAGATAAAAATGAAAGAAACAAGAAGAAATCTAGTTAAGAGAAGAACATATAATTTACATAATAAGTCACCTCAGCCCGTCAGTCAGGGTTTGGTTCATATGGATTAATTTTCTAGACTTGTATTTCAGATATGTCAGCCTTCTGTTCCAGTTTTAATAAATGCAGAAAAGGTTATCTAGCCTTCTCCAAAAATAACTTAAAAAAAATCAAAACAAGATCTTCAGAAAGTAATTTATGAGAAAATTAATGAGTTATGGAGCATCAGGCTTTAAAACCACAAAGAAGGCCAATCYAGGTTTGCAGAGTTTAAAATGAAATGCTTTCACATATTATTAAGCAAGTTCAGAAGCAAAATTTTACCTGACCTTCTTTTAAAGGACTGAGGCATTTTATGCCTGTAACGGCATACTAAAATAATCATGGCATTAATTATAAATTACTTGCAACAAGCAGAAACATGAGTCTAGAGGACAGGGACTTTAATTTACTAGCTCTATGTATTTTTTGGCCATGGGCGTTTTGAGTAAAAATATGTAAGTCCACATAGTTCCATGTCAGATAAATCATTACTCTGCTATTGCTACGGAACCCCCACGGAGATACAACTGATAAGGAGCTCGGCTGATCAGCAGAAACAGACAGGTATCATATCAAGGATGACYGTTTTTCTGCTAATGAGTATGTAAAAAAAGGCAGCCAACCTCCCCCAGCAGTTCCATGCTAGGCCCTTATTTAGCCTCTCCGTTTGCAGAGAGCCTAAATTCCCTTTCAAGGGCAGGTTCCCACAGAAACAAGATCACTGTTGGCTGACTTCAGCTCTCAAGGAAAAAAAGGAGTCMTACTCCATTTCTATAGGCTTTGAGGAGGCAAACAGGAAGAAAACAGGTAGCATGCAGAAAAGAAGTGATGAAGTTCCTAACACAGGGTAAAGGAAATATTTCAAAAATAATTTGGAGTTCATTCTTTCAACTCAAATATTCACTTCTCTTTCTCAACCCCATTGCTTTGGTCAATCAGATTTTGCAGTAATTCTATAGAGCCAGCTTGGCATCAGAGAAAGGCCAAAAAAAAAAAAAAAGCTTAAAAAGTTTGTGGGTTTGATAGTCAACGGCAGATTAGAAATACAGAAAAAGAGGATACACAGGAGTGCAGGGGAGTGGGGCTTTACCCTTTGCAAGCTGCTGGRTTCAGAAACACCGTTGCTCTCTTCAGAGGCATATGGGACGGAAGCGGCTGGTCGCCATAAACCTAGGAGAAAAAGAAAAGCCGAGTTCAGTTTTCTCTTGTAAGCTCATTGGTAAAACACTTCAAAATAATGAATTCCCACAAATGTCACTGGGCTTTAATTCTCCTGACAATCAAATGACTTCCACCTCCCAACACTGTACAGGTCTCCTGTTCAAGGATCATTACATTGAGCAACAGCCAATATAATTGTCAAAAGGAATTTCAACCTCATCTTTATGATTTCATCATCTTTTTTTTTCTTAATGTCAGCCCCTAATTTTCTTCCATGAGCAGAGATTGAGGAAATTACCCTTGGTTCTAAGGTTACTTGATTTTCTTTCCTTCTATATAATTTTGATAGACCTGCCTCTCCCCTTCTTTGGGCATCTTTTTCCATGGCTGCCTTTCATTTCTTATTTCTTATTTCTATTCTTTTGTATTTTCTGTGCTTATGCTTGAAGAAAGAATCATCACCAGAGAGTTTGCCCTGACCAATAGGCACAATAAGCAAACTCACTGCTTCTCTGCTACCTTTTCCTCCTATTGTTTCCCTAAAACGTTTAAGGAATTCCTCTTAGACATCTAATCCAATTTTGAATAGGTGCCTTTTAGATTATTAGGGAATTATTTCATGCAGACTCTTGGACATTCTAGCAATTTTTACTCATTTCTGCACCTTTTATCACAGAAGGAAGCAAGAATAGGCAAGGTTTCCACAAGCTACTTGCACTCTAAAGCTCTTTAAGCTCACCTACCCATGTCTTCTTTACCACACTAAATCAGCCTGTTTTAATGGGCACAAGGGTGACACTGTATTCAGTCACATCATACAGAAATCTCCAAAATGAAGCAGGATCAACAGACTACTGCACTAAACACAAGGCAAAGAGACAACTGTCTGCTTTCTTCTCCCTTTATCTTGAAAGCTAATACCTTGGCAGGAATTTTCACACTGAAGAGTTTGGTATTGTACATTAATTGTACAAGCACATTAATTGTAGTGATCACTGGCTGCTCAAAGCAGAGATCAATTCCACTTGACATTTTGCTGAGGAATTCTCAATTAAAAACAACTGTGCAGCTGGATATGTAGCTTTAAACACACACATTTCTTTTTCAAGACAAGAAAAGGGATGAAGAAAGTTGATAAGGGCAGAATGGTCAAAGAAAGAGGAAGAAATCAACAGTTCTTTAGCTTTTGTCAAAAAYAACTGAAAAGAAACCAATAATTTATTTTATTGAAATTGTTGAGGCTGGAGATTCATGGAGACTTCATTAATACTCMCCTGGCATGTTACAGCTGGTAGATACAATTAAATACTCACCTGGGGGGATACAATGTGATGTATTTGCTTACYCTAAACATACAACCCAACAAGGTTCATACTCATAAACAAATTTTGAGTAATGAGATAATCATTTATTTATCACATATACTTAGGTATTTATGTTATATATTGGGGTTTTGCCAAAACAAATTCTAGATTTTAAAATGTTTTTTTTTTTATTTTAAAAGGGCACTATTTTAGAAACTGTTTTTGAAATTTCTCTTACGTTCAGATGGAATTTCTGTATTTCCGTTTGCGCCCACTGCCACTCATCCCATCCTGAGCACCACTGAAGAGAGTTTGGCTCTGCCTTCTTTACATCCTCCCTTTAGATATTTATATGCATTGATAAAATCTCCCTGAGCAAACAGATATTGAAGTATTAACTGCTATTTATCAGCAATATATAACAATAACAGTAAATTATCATCTTGATATCGAAGCATTGAAAATGAATACAGAAAACATAAAAATCAAGAAAAACTGATTTTATCAATTGGAATTCTACTTGACTCCAAAGATATGATTTATGAAGATGGGATTTTCAGAAAAAAAATTTTTTCTTTTCATTTCATGAGACTTCAGCTTTGTTTTATTAATTCTGTGAAGAAGCTCCACAGCCCAGAGCAAGTTGCCGTAAACATCTTTCCCTCAACATCTGGCAGGCTAAAATTGGGCTTTCTCAGGTGCATCACAGATACAAAACAGGGTAATCTCAAGCAAAGTTCTTTAATGAGAAAAGTATTTTTCACCATTTGTTTTCGGACTGAACACATAGTCATGATGGGAGCAATATCACACCTGCAAAACCTCTAAGTTCTGGCATGGAAAAGCTCATTTAGAATAAGATTTATTTGTAGGAGACAGAAAGACCCTAAAAATTTGATACCATACCAACGTGGTAATCTAAGCAGGTCAACAGTAACTGTGCCACGTTGTAAGCCATGAGCAGCACTTGTACCAATGAAGGAATTCTTATTAGGGGAAAGATTTCTTTACAGAATTCTGCAGCAAGGAAATTTGACCACTGCCTACTGCCAACAAATACGACAAACTACAAACAAAACCAGCCATTATCCTCAGAGAACAACTAGCCTCCCCGTCTCGGAACACTAGTTCTCTTGTCAGTGATCAAAGATTGAATGATCCCTTACTACCCAAGGCATGGGTCTCAAACAACATAAGGTCAGACTTCAGGCTTAGTATCTTTGATAAACGCACTCTATATTGAAGAGATAAGGGCAAGGTCTCTCTACTTGTGCACTAATGAGGAGCAACCTGCACTGCCTGTGCCCAGGCTGCATCTGTCATGATGGATGTGAGATTTCTATGTCCTATCATGCCAAAAAGTCACCTTTCAACCAGAATTTTACAGGTGCAGAGCAACTAAATCTGCAGAAGGGGAGGACAGGGTAGCAGGAGCAGGAGCTAAGATTACTGCTTCCACTGCACTGGCCACAGCCACTGCAGGGCCAGGCATTGCAGGGACAGTTCCCCAGGGGGCAGTTAGTGGCACTGCCCACCAGCTGGCACTTCAGCTGAAGAAAACAGAGGGCATCTTTATCAGGCTGCACAGAGGGCATCTTTATCAGGCTTGTCACATCAGGGCGGGCCTGCTGGGGAAATCTCAGGAGCCCTGCACTACCAAGACAAAAGTTGGGGGGAGGGAGTTAATCTAACCTTATCACTTTAAATGGTATTACCTGGGCTTCTTCGCACGCAGCTCTTCGTAGCAGGTTATCACTGTGCAACAAGACAAAATAGAGAGTGGACATTAGGTAGAAAAAGCTTAAAACAAATTGCCCATTTTCCAAAAATAGGTGCATAGCCTTCTTATATATGCTTCGACAGCCCCGAGATTAAGAATCAAGGGTAAGACATATTTTTAAGGATAAACATACCCATTTAAGCACACATGCATAAAATACAAACTGCCCTTTATACTGTAAAGTAGAAAACAGACCAGTGTTTTAAGTTTGTTAACATTACATAATCTCTGAGACACGGTATAACTATGACCTTTTTAAAATTGCTACATAGCTGTACTCAAGATCTAATCTTTTCTTTTTTTAATGTTAAAACTGCCTGTTATTTACGCTGAAGCTACKCAGCATTCTGGCAGCACGGAAGGGATTAAGAGTAGCCTTAAATGTAACTTACATGAACTTAAATCTCTGTGGGTTACAAATGTGAGCGCCCTTCTCSATTGGTTTGTGAGCTGAACTCAAGCCAACACAGTACCTGCCACCCACACAGGTCTGAAGATGGAATAAAACAGTAACTCACTCAGGTCACCTCAGTGAAGTTTAAAAGTAAATAAGAAAATAACAGTATAAGAGTTGCTACTGAGTATCACTAAAGAAAAAAAAAATAAGGCAAAATATTCCAGACTACCTTGTACATTGTCATGTACAACATGAACAAGACAGCAGGAATGGCCCAGATGACAAGCCAACTGGAGATAGAGCTACTGAGCAARAATCTAGTTCTTCTACAGATCAAAAATCAAGTTATTGGATTTCAAAGCCAAAAAAGGAGTGTTCTTCTGCAGTGTCCCAAGTTTCATATGTCCTCTAACTGCAAAAGCCACTTGCCCCTCCCTGCGAAAACTGGAAAAAAAAAAAAAAATCCATCAACATTTCTCTGGCAGTTCCTGGCAAGATAGTACATTGCAGTCATAAAAATCTCCAGTACAATAGTATAAAGCTACAGTCAGCATAATATGCTCCAAAATTTATACAAAAATGAAAAACACTTGACAACTGATAGCAAAGCAGCATGCTTGAGCCACAAACTTTGGTCCATCAGGCCAAGATCTGAAGTGGAAATGGCAGAAGAAAAGACAAGGCCCAGAATCTTTGGACTGAAACAGGGATGGGATCTATTCAACTACACAAGCTTACACTGTACATCCAGCCCTAGAACTACATAAGCTGCTCTTTTTGTCATCACCAAAAGATGTTGCTGCTGCAGTGTCTCAAAAAGAAAAGTAGAATGATTTCAGGAACAGGTTTGAGTACTGCAAAATATAATCCTGCAGATAAAGGGCAACAGAAGTAGTCTTGGTAGCCATAAAAAGAAAAAATGAAAAAAAAATGAGGATGAAAAAAGAAAATAGGTAAATGAGGTATTACCAGGATAGCAGTAACTGGAGCACTAAAATAAAAATGGAGACATAAGCATGTCTTTAACTTAATATTTGCTCTTCAAAATTTCTGCAATAATCCACTTGTATTAAGCATCAGAAATATTGCTTACAGGAGCAGCAGGTGTTTATAACTGCAGTAATTTTAGGAAAGAATATTACTTAAAATAACTCTCTTTATGAAAAAGCTTGCATACCACGCTAGGACAAATTTCCACAGCTAATTCCAGCCCAATCAGGACAGCAGGCAAGCTAAGAAGTCCACATTGCAGCACTGATTAGAAGTTCTTTTATAGTGAGCTTTAGTTTTCTCTCCCCTGTGACTGCATAYGGACAGAGCAAAAGCTCAATAATTGCCACTTGGGCATGTAAAGCCGGACTATTGTTGATCAATTGATGGCCGTGCAGAACTGCTGTCCTAACCTTATTTTCAACTTTTAGCCAAGTTCACCTTATCTGTTTTCTTCACATTGATGCTACTTTGTCCAGGGATCAAACTGAGTCATGTTGTCAGCCAGGTACGCTTTCACAGAACCTGCCACCTCATGGTCTAGTTCTAATCATTTTTAAAGTTGAGTCCAATGCAACTTTTCAAGTGCAAGCAAAATATAACATGCTTGTCTGCCCCAGCCTGCAAAGATCCTTAATGCAACAGTCAAGGATGCAAGTTTGATTCAAGTGAGCCAAATGTTAACCACAAAAAACAGGTCTGATGATAGTTTAGAGGTCACAAGCAGCTTATTTTGTCCTGCGCTAAGACACTTAGAGAAAGGGGCAAGTCCACTCTGATGCATTTCCTTCTGGTATCCAAAGGAACGGCTCAGGTTCTTAGACTAGAAGAACCACGTGCAGTGAAGTAATTTATAGATGATTTGCTTATGTCTCTAGTAAAACACCATGTACAGAACCCAGGCGGGTCACCCTAGGCTTCCCAAGGATTTAATAAGATATATCTTTAGTTTTCTTTTCTTAACACAGTACTTAAATGAACAACTATCATTACCATTAAAGAGAAGAAAAAAAAACGGGGAGGGGGCAGATATCTGCATACAGGTTAGACCATCGGCCTCCACAGGTCAAACTGAATATTAAGTACAGCTACAAAAATATCAAAAAAATACCCCAAAAGTAATGTTTCTGGTCTTATGCCTCAATGTGTATTAGATTAGGTAAATATGTCTGCTTACGAGTTCCAAAAGTAAAAGAGGCTTGAATCAGAAACACAAAATATTGTCCATTTTTTATATTTTATTGACTAGCACTACAGAGAAACAAAGCAGCATCAAAAGCATTCCAACATGGCAGGTGGAGACAGAGGGAAAATACAGATCAAGTTACTGTACTACCTGAAAGAACACATGAAAATTTCTTATGACCAGCCTCATATCCACAGGGAASTAAGAATGAGTTCTTACTTTACATTTCCCTTACACACTTATAGACACAACTTAGAACCTCAAGCAAACCAGATGTGCTGTAAAGCATCCAGGCTGACCAGTGCAAGCTGCTTTCGTGCTGTCACAATCAGCCACCACGGAGGCTTGCAAAAGAGCTGACTTGTGTAAACAGAAAAAAAACAAGAGGCAGAGGAAAGAGAAGTGGGCTATTAGAAAAGGAGGATGTCCTAAACTGAACCCACTGATGGAACCTGAACTGATTCAGCAAAGATTCTCGGCAGCCTTGCGAGGTCTGCAGCCACCACAGCACAGAGCCCCCAGAGAACAGAGCAGGAAGGTATTTAATACTAAAAGCTCACACTGGAAAATCATTTAGCTACCTCCATAACTCTGCTGCAGTTCATTTCTTCTCTCTATTGAAATGAAAGTGCTCTGATCCTAAATTCTCACCATCCTCTTTACTCAAGTTCAAGAAACGTAAAGGAGTCTGTAAACATTTCATGCATGAAAGCTGCCTGAAGGCTCAGACTCCTTAGACAAACCTAACAATAAACACAGGGCTATGTCAAAGCAAGGAAAAAACATACAAAGAAAGCAGCTGTCTAGAACTCATCACAAAGCAGATATACGGGATCTGTAAGATACTTCAACATCTGTAAGATCTGCTTGAATTGTGGATTTTCTAAATTGTGTCTTCAACATCCTCAGCATAGGACTAGTAACTACTACTGCCATAAAGGTTTTCAGCCAAAACTGGCAATTGACACTGTTGCACATAAACAGAGATTTGCATAATTGAGTATGCACAGGTATCCTCTGCACAAGTGTCAGCAGAGGCCTGGGCTGAAAGGATGAAGAAAGGTTCCCATGACGAAAGGTCAACCACAGCAGCAATGAACTTGACAAGCAGAAGACTCCAAACTTGAAAAAGCTGTTTTAGACCAAATGCAGTAGCAAAAGTCAGCCCACAGCTTAAAGGCAAGCAAAGCAGCTCCCCTAGAAATGGCCRTACTGCAAATGCAGGCAGAAGCTCAATGTGAGATTCCATTTCCAAAAGGGCTATCAGTTTTAAATCTAAGACTAYCAAGGATATTCAAGCAACAAGAAGCCTAAGAGTATTCAAGTTCCATATTTAGATGAAAACACACTACTTTGTGAAAATATAGGGAAGGATTTGACCCCCCCCTATAAATTTGTGCAGGCAGCACCACTCCTTAGGAAGAGAACTCTTAGAAAAGAGTTTGTGCTATCAAAGAACATTTTGATTGCTTCCAATATTGCAAGACCACTTTTTTTTCTTGAGATAAGCATTTATTTCCAGCTTGATTATGGAAATACATTAGAAGACAAATCCTAGTTTGCACCAGCTTTTTCCAAGACTTAGAATCCATCCTCAACATTTTGCGTTTGTTTGTTTTGTTTTTTGAAATTGAAGTAATTTAATAATAAGCAGTCGGGTACTCGGGAAGAGGTATGCAGGAAAGTGATGAAGTGAGTTATCAGCTGGCAAACAGAGACTAGCAATCAAATTACAAATAACACTGACTCTCAGACTGCTGGTTCAGAGTCAAGGCCCACAAGCCTTTTAAGTATTTTCTACACAGAAAGTCAACAATTTAATAGATCTAGAGTTAAGCTAAGTATCTGAGGGGTCTGCTGCCTCCATATAACATCTAAGTCCCCTTCCTGACACGGTGGTGATCAGCTAATCTACAGTACAACCATAAGAGTCTGACCAAGTCTGACAATCAATTTAGCAGATGTTCACACACCAGAGAAAGCTAAATTTTGCTGATTTGACATAGCTGGCGACTCACTGCACCATCTGGACATATGAACAGCAGCAATAGCTCTTTTCAGGAGGGATGATCCAGGACATGAGCTGAGAAGGTGAGAGGAGCTTCAAAAGCCCTCGCGCAGGAAATTGTCAAACAATCTGTTGGTATCTTCTTGCTATTTTCTTTCCCAATTAAGTAACATTTCAGCAAAAGAGTGAATKTGAATTTTATTCTATGACTACTTATACTAATAAAGTCAATGYGTGCCTAGCCACCCAACAGGACCACAGCCAGTATTAAGTTGTGTGTACTTTCTTCAACCTTCTGGAAAACAAAAGACTCCAAAGAAAAACTAAAAGCAGCTTATTACTTTATTGTAAGCACTCTCCTGTAAATATGTACTGGTTGTGGAGGAGCTGACGA